AAGGTGGAACAGATGTGTTTTTAGTCGTTTCTTGAAGATGGTTAAGGACTCAGCTGCTCGGATTGATTTGATTGATTTCGGTATATATAATGTAATGTCTATGTCATGAATAATGTACTATACTGTATGCTTTATTTATTTCAGTAAAGTAATTTAAAGTGATCATACTTCACATATATTCGTTTATATACTGCTTTGCATCTTCATCTTAAGTTTGAAAGCTACGGACAACACTTGGAAATAACTATAAGTAATATATTATATACAATGTAGTCGGTTGACAGCTCAGTCTCTCTCTGTCTTTTTCCGAAGAAGCAACTGCATGTTCTAGTATTGGAAGAACTTATTATTTAAATAACGAGAACGTAATGTATATTTGTGCCCTGTTTATGAACCTCCCTCTCTAGACAACGCGTCTCCTATTGGGCAGTGTAGAAATGCCCCTACAATGTTCCACCGCGCCAAAGAATCTGGTGCGCCTTTGCGCGGAGGACATGGACTTGGACGCACCATTCTCTTTCCATTCCCTTACGCATTAGCTGCACATGGTGACCCAATGAACCCTCGTCCTCACGCATCGTCCAACATACAATGGATTAACAGGAAAGACATGAATGTCCGCACAGAGGACGGCATCAGCCTGTGCCAAAGGGCTCTCCAAATAGTGACGGAGCTGTGCCTTTCCGGGCACGTCGACCGGGAGAAATGTGCGGATATATTTCCACTGGAGAGCAACATACCAGGTAAAGGAAGTTCAGGTAAATTTAACTTAACAAAGTTCTATTATCCTCTCACAAACATATTTTTCAGGAACTCTGGTTAGCGAGTTAACGAGACTTTTTAGTAGTTGGTATACTGAAAGTTTGAAAAGTTTGTTCACGGGCATAGAACCATACTTTATATTCATAACATTACCTGAAATCAGTCATTAGACTGGCAGACGGTATCCACTTGTTGATTATCAGTGCGCAACAAGTGTGAAATTGGCAACTCAGTACGTTGTCTCAGTTTTATTTCACTGGGGCGGTAGGTACAAAAGCTACAAGGTACATCTTTGTATACCCTATTTCCCCTAAATTGTACATATTAGTACATTACAAGTGCATATTAGTACCTGAAGCGTACATTTTAATATACGTTTTGAAAGAGTACTGCCACAGTTTTTGTATCTTCGGTTTTCTGACAGTGTACAATTATACGCGTCAGACGTTTCGTGAAATATTGCGTGGAAAACTCGCGGGTTTCCCGATAAAACGTAATAAAACATTTCTGTACCGCACGTCAATAATGCACATAAACCTGCATGTTTCAATGTCTGTGATTTAATTTGTTGGCGACAAATGAAAGTAGTTTTTACAACTTATCCCTGTACAAAGTACCACAGTACCACACTACTAGGGTGAGTAACACAAATATATACAAACCATGAACGTTTTGTGCATGAATTTATTGTAAAAAATCTTGGTCAATATGTTTGTTTTAGCCCTGTAGTCCAGAGCAAATCAAAATGAAATACAGAACTACAAGTTGCATAGGCTTACAGCTCACAAAACGTCGGACAGTACAGAATGTGCTGTACTGCAAACAGTGAGGACTAATGTGCGTGATATATTCACAATAAAGTATGGCCACGATTGCATCAGAAGCCAGAAATCAAATTACAAGATGGCATGCTGATGCAAATGACATCAATATATTTTTATACTCATATTACATTTTCCGTGGCCTTAGAAGGGTAGTGGTCATGTATGAGAGTGAGTCCATCCCTGTATCTCGGTAGTAAAACTCACTCCATGATACAGCAACCAACTATAATTACGTGCTGCATTCCGCAGTGCATTAAGCAGCTGAAACTCTTGCACCTGTTGTGGACACATATGAAGGTTCAACAGTGCCACTCATTCAAATACCTTTTAGCATCTTAAATTGACATTGCGAGATATTTAACATTGTTTCAAAGCTTATTAGTGCCTATGAAAGGACTTTTTTAATCTTTGGTTGCATGGACCACCAAAATGGGAAGCAAAATGACTCTGCTGATCTCTGCTTAACTAAACAAGCACATTTCAGTCTTCTTTTTCTTATACCTTGCCCTCACTTTCTTTTCTTTTCTCTCTCCCTCTTTCTCCTGTTTGTCTGTCATGCATAATTTATTACTGCTGGTGCTCTGTCTGTCTCCGTCTGGTGTTCATTTATCTCTTTCTCCTATCCTCGTCTCCTTTCTCCCTCACCTTCTGTTCTTTACGATCTCCTCAACGCACTCTCCTTCCAATCTTGCCTCTTTTTTCTGTACTCTCTCTTCCTCTTGTTGCCTGTAGACATCTCTGTAAGTCTCCTAGCTGTGGTCGTAGGTTTCTGTGGGCTCGCCCTTTTGGTAGTCTCTCTCTTTGTCTTTTGGAAGCTGTGCTGGCCCATTTGGAGAAGCAAGGCGCTCTCATCCAATGCTGACAGCTGCCCACTGGGGGTGCTGCCCGAGGCCCCCCCGGCCCCGGCGCCACCTCCGGTGTCTCGTTCTGTTTCTCCTCATCCTGAGACCAAGACAATTGGAACTGTGGGAAGGCAGCCATCACACATCCAGTACGAGGATGAGGAGGATAAGAAGAGGAAGGTACCAGAAGTGAAGGTCAACGGCCGCAGCTCGGTTAAGATTCTGGAGGTGGCCATGAAGATCAGCCAGACGTCACCAGACATCCCTGCCGAGGTGCAGCAGGCTCTGCGTGACTGTCTGAGCAAGCAGGCCAAAATCCAGAGGCAGACCACTGAACCTACCTCGTCCTCCAGGTGATACACACATCTGAATGCCAATTACATGATAAATTACAGTACATGGAGATCTACTTTTGATGCCTGATTGCACACTGAATGACACTACAGAAGAGGGTTAATCCTTTCATTATTGCCACTTGAATAAATAACTCATATAAGGATTAGAAAACAGAACATATATGTAATTGAGCAGAAATGCTTATAAAGGGGTTCCTTTACTGAATGATAAACACATGCTGAATGATTTTTGATCAGTGTGTGCCTTTGAATACAGCAAATGAGGCAGCAGCTGTTTTTTCATTTATGAGATATCCAGATAACAACCAGATCCAAGCCAAAGCACAGCTACTAAGTAGATTAAGCCAGCTGTATACAGCATTTTAAATAAATAAATAAAATATACTGTATATATATATATATATATATATATATAGCCTACACACACACATACACAGTATTTTCTATTATTGAACATCTACTAATACAACAAAAATGTAAAAAAAATTATAATAAAAAAAAAAAAAAAAATAATCATGATAAAACAATTATATTATATATAAGTATAATTATTAGTAAAATTAATAATATCAGTAAAAAATAATATTGGTATACTACATATATAGTAAACTATATACAGTACATCCAAATAAAAGGAATTAAGGTATAAAATGTATTATCACAACTTTTATTTTCACGTATTTACCCTGTTGACAGGGTGATGGCACGTCTCCTGGTTGCTACATACGCCCATTAATCACTACAGTTCACCAATCTGAGCCCTAGAGTCGCATTACCATAGCAACAGCATTAAATGACACCAGCAATTAAACAATCAGCTCTTCTTCTCTTTGTTTCATGTGGCACCATGTTTAAAGAAAGCAGGGATGTAATTAGTGTTGCCACGCAATAGCGCTGACATGCTGCGACTGTTTGTCCGACTGGGGAAGTGAGGAACAGCTGTGCTCGGTTCCTCGTGGAATTCATTATTGACAAGCCACAGAATTGTCATTAAAAACTTCAACATGGTGTAACAAATAAGGTGTCCTCATAAATCGCACATTGATGCAGTGCATGAAAAGGCCAGGAGAAGTTACTCAAAGGTCATTGTGAAAGACTGTTTGACTGGGTTTGGGTTGACACATTTTTTCTTGTTTTCCTATTCTTCTGTCATTTCTTAAATATTACCTTCTCTGGAGTACATTACTTGGACTCTAGTTTCACTTCCAAAATGAAAGAAACAATAAATAAATAGGCAGATACCTTGAGATAATGGCAAACCATCTTCAAAAGACTTTAAAATAGGCTAAGTGTGGTCATTTCATGGTATAGGTTGATCACTAAAGTGAGCAGAACTATGCCTGTTTCTATAGTGTCAAGTCAAGTCAAGTCACCTTTATTTATATAGCGCTTTTAACAATACAGATTGTGTCAAAGCAACTGAACAGCATTAATTAGGAAAATAGTGTGTCAATAATGCAAAATGACAATAGTAAACACAAATTTTTCAGTTAAAGACAGTTCATCACTGAATTCAGTGATGTCAACATCCAGCTCAGTTTAAATAGTATCTTTGCAATCAAGTCAACGGTATCGCTGGAAATTAAGTGTCCCCAACTAAGCAAGCCAGAGGCGACAATATAGTGTATAGTGACAATATAGACTATAGTGCTATAGTTAAAGGGCTCATGAACTGCCTCTGTTTTTTATTTTTTTACTGTGCTCTGAGGTCCACTTATAATGTTGTCAAGATTTTTACATTAAAAAACATCATAGTTTATTAGAAATAAGCTATTTTCTGTCCTGTTATTAACCCCTCTTATCAGAACGCATATGCGTGGCGGACTGTAGACTCAGAAGTAAATGCCAACTGCTATGATTGGCTAACACTTGTGTGTTTGACAGCCTACGTCCTTCACAGATGAACGCTGCTGTGATTTAGGTAAAAAATGCATAAATAACTCACATATCAAACGATCTGTAAGATGAGACAAAGAAATAGTGATCACGTAATAAAAACGGTTACTCACATTTGTGTGGTGCGGCATTACTGTCGGATCCAATATAGTCGGCACAGCATCGTCTTTTAGTTTCAATCTTTTTGAAAATCCTGCGTCAAATTGTGCCTGGTTTGTAAACAAATCCACAGTAAAATGAAGTGAACAAAAGACCGAGTTGTAACTGACATGGTCTGGAACTTCATTAAAAATAAAGTTAATCCACTGCCTTCAATATAAGCTGTTTTTAGACTAATGACAAAGTTTTGAATTCTGAAACTTACAGGATGTTTTTATAGTACAATGACCTCTTATATATCAAAAGATCAAGGGGATTTTGTTTTCTCAGTTCATGACCCCTTTCAAATTTTTTACTGAATTACTGTATGCACTATTCATTTCATTGCATGAGCATATTACACATTCCGGCAAAAATTAACTTCCTTCTGCTGTAATATGATAAAACACTATTGTTAGATAGCTTGCATAAACCAAAAGCCAAAATCAAATGAGTAGACAGGATAGTTTTATTTCACATGTAGCGATCAGTCATCAGTGTATACTGCAACAGGTAACTGACAGGTGTCTGTGCAAATTGGACTTGAATATTTCCACCTCCTCCACAGTCGCTTATATGGCAGAGTAAAAATACAAATTGAAATCTGGCACTGGCTCACAGGCTCATTCATTTTGGTTGGCAAGATGTATCAGAAACATTGCCATCAAACACTGGATTTTGAAAGAAGTGCTCTTCAAAACATCCGAAGACAGAAGTTAATTACTCTGTCTATCTTCAATTTATCATTGCATTGTGCTGGGATGTTTGTGCAAATTGCAAGGCATAATGTGCAGCAAACATGTGCAGGTGACAGACAAGAGATGGACAAAATAGAGAGAGAAAGAGAAATTGACAGTGATTATGAGATCAGGCGAGAAAAACGGCAAAAACAATTGTGTGGAAACACTAAAAAAGTTACAATTTGGTAAATATTATGATTAATATATCACAAGTTTGTTAAATGATATAATCCATCACTTTTTTTGTATCATGCTGTCATTGTCTTAAAGGTGCTAGTTGCTAGGAAACACCAAGGATAAGTAGAGAAATATGATTTCCTCATAGGAGTCAAGATGAGTGCTGAAAATGGGTTTTCTATAGTAAAAAGATCCAGGCCTAACTATTGCGATAAAATCTTGTGAAGTCTAGAATATAAAAGTTAAATCAACGCATTTGAAGAGTAACGCGGTACTAAAGTGCTTGTTTTCCAGTGCTAGGGAGTAATTAACTAAAAGGAACCTTAGTTGCTACTAAAGGATAGTTTACTCAAAAATGAAATTTTGCTGAAAAGTAACTTACACTCAGACCATCCAAGTTGTAGATGAGTTTTCCCCCCATCAGAACAGATATCAGAAATTTAGCATTACATCACTTTCTCACCAATGGATCGTCTGCAGTGAATGGGTGCCGTCAGAATGAGAGTCCAAACAGCTGATAAAAACATCACAATAATCCACAAGTAATCCATACGAGTCCGGTCCATCAATTAACATCTTGTGCAGCAAAAAAAAACAAAAAAAAAACGCCTGTTTGCAATAAACAAATTCATCATTAAGACATATTTAACTTTCTTCCATCCATAATATTGCTTCTTCTAGTAGGAAAGTCATCTTGTCTGAATCAGGAGAGAAATATTCACAGATCAAGCACTGTTTACAAGCAAAACCAGTCTAAAGCAGTTAAAAACAATATGATAGTGGCTTTTGATGTGAGAGGACAACGGGGGATGGACTGTTTCAATGGAGGAAGCGTCCAGTGGATATTTTGGCCAGAAACAATGGTTTAAAGTGAAAATGCATTAATAATAGATTTGTTTCTTACAAACATTCAGCGTTTAATTTCACAAATTGTTAACTGATGGACTTGAGTTGACATTATTGCGCTGTTTTCATCAGCTGTTAGAACTTTCATTCTGATGGCACCCATTCACTGCAGAAGATCCAATACACCAAAATATTTAGTAACTACGAAATATTTACTTTTATTTTTTTCATAAGTAGCAATAAAGTTCTTCTCTTTTCATAGGCACAATTCTTTCCGCCGACACCTGCCACGGCAGATGAATGTGACCAGTGTGGACTTCACCATGGACACTCTACCTGTGCGCCAGTCTTCTGCAGTCAGTATCGGTCGTATCAAACCTGAGCTGTACAAGCAGAAGTCTGTGGACTCTGAAGACGGAGCCAAGGAGCCAGTAGAGACGTGCGGCAAGCTGAGCTTTGCCCTCAGCTACGACTACGAGGAACAAGCTCTAGTGGTTTGCATTCTAAAGGCCCTGGACCTGCCCGCCAAAGACTTCACAGGCACCTCCGACCCCTACGTGAAGATCTACCTGCTTCCAGAGCGCAAAAAGAAGTTTCAGACGAGGGTCCACCGCAAGACGCTCAACCCCATGTTCGACGAGACGTTCCGCTTCCCTGTGGAGTACAGTGAGCTGTGCAATCGCAAGTTGCACTTCAGCGTGTACGACTTTGACCGCTTTATGAGTCATGACATGATCGGAGAGGTGGTGGTTGATAACCTGTTTGAGCTGTCTGACCTATCACGCGAAGCTGTGGTTTGGAAGGACATCCTTGCAGCCACTACAGTAAGTACAGTGCGTATAGAAAAGCAAAGGTCATAACCAGTACTTTCCTCAGATACCTCAATGAGACCAGATTTCTGGCAGGTTTGAATTTTTGAATTCAGTTTAAACTGAATTTGAGTTAAGGTAGCAAACAGGATGCAGAATTGAAATGTGTATTTTGGGAAGTAGAATTTAAATGAATTGAAACTCAAAGAAATTCATCAGTAATTAGACACATTTTTAACTGAAACCAAAGTTTGTCAAGATTTTGTTGAATGTTGGCTGGACAAAGATTTGTTTAAAAGATGAACGAATGAATGAACGAACAGAAGTACAAGGACAACTGTATTCACTTATGCTGGTCACATACCTCTGCATCAATCAAACAGAGCTCAAAGGAAATCTGACTGCACAAATGTGAAGGTCTCATTAATGGATAGATTGATCTGTTATGTAAAGCCAGGTGTCGGGGAGGGCTCATCTCCAAACTGACTCACCCTTTCAGGGCACCCCTTCCAAAAATAGATCCAATTGCGTTTCCAGAGCCACAGGAAGCATGATTATCAAGCCAGAGCCTTCAAACGACAGCCATGACTAATCCAACAGGTGTGGAATTGAGTTTGTCCCAACGTCCCACTGACTGCAGAGTACAACAAGAAATGTTACCGGCAGTACATTTTTAGGACAAAGTAACCTAAGCAATTTCCTCCGTAGTATTTTTTTTAGGTTCCTTTGCCCGCTCATTATGCCTCAGTTAATATATAAGAGCTTATGTAATCGCATCAGTCATGTTGTTTATGAGGGTTTTTAAGGACAGCTCTTCTTAAAGGGATAGTTCACCTTAAAGGGGTCATATGATGCGATTTCAAGTTTTCCTTTCTCTTTGGAGTGTTACAAGCTGATTGTGCATAGATAAGATCCC